TATTGTGGCATTATTTTAACGATAATTAAACATTTGAGTCTAATTCTGTTTTCTTTTTACTGTAATACAGTAATAAAAATCATGCTGTTGGGACAAAAATCAGCATAAATAAAATTAACTACTACAAATACTATATCATGGTTGAGACATGGTTTGAGAGATTCACCCATAAAGAGCTGTACGGGTAGGCCTATGTCTTGTGCAAGGATCTTTTTCTTATTCTCTGGTCTCAACTCTCCCATCCATAAAGGCACCTTTCCAATGGAGGTCAACAATTGAATTAAATTGATTTAGTCCCACTTGAGCTATAGAATTAAAAAAAAAAAAAAAACACAAATGTAAACTAAAAAATGTTTAATTTATAGAAGTTATAGAATAAAATGAAACGACTGAGTAAAATTTTGTTCAGTAATTATGAATTATGCAGTTTTTTTCTCAGGCTTCATTACTTGGAAGTATTACTCATATCATCACTCTAGTTATAATGCAGTTTGTTGAGGAGAACACTGGACTTGTGATTTTCACCTGGTGGACAATGAAACAGACAAAACAAGAATGAAGGACCTGCAGCCATATCATACAGACTTTAACTTGGACCAGTAAGCACCCGGAACACCCTAGCAACCACATAGCAATGCTCTGCCAACCCCTTATAACACCCTAGCATCTTTTGCAGGAATGTAGTTTTACATTATCCCTTGAGTCTCATATTTTTTCAAACTTAATACATATTCCTCACTTTCATCCTTCTGTCTTTGCAGAAATCAGGATGGTGTATCCCTCATCTCAGGTACACAGCAGAACACCACCGTTACCTTCACTGCCCAGCCTGGCCCCAACGTGCCTGCCCCGTCACCGTGCCGACAGGCCGAGAGCCTGCCTCCCCACCACCACACCCCGAGCCCTATCCTGTCCCCGCCGGACTCTGGCCTCAGCTGTGCCTCTTCCCTTCCGACCTCAGCCACTTCCCCCACCATGACGGACGTATTTGGTCTGCCCACACCACCCCTCAGCCTAGGCACGGGGCGTAGCCGCTCCCCTTCCCCGCTCACCCTTATCCAGGCTGCATCGAACAAGCCCTTTGCCACCAAACCCATCCTCATGTGGAGCAAACAGGACGTGGCCGACTGGCTTGAGAGCCTGAACCTGGGCGAGCACAGGGATGCCTTTATGGACAATGATATCGAGGGCAGCCACTTGCCCAACCTGCAAAAGGAGGATCTGATCGACTTGGGCGTGACTCGTGTGGGTCACAGAATGAACATCGAGCGAGCGCTGAAAGTCCTCTTGGACAGATGAGACTGGGCAGATGTCCTCACCAGGACTCTGCGCATCTTGTTCATAAGCTTCTTTTTCCCTCTTCCCTTATTTCAGTTCACTAGTTTGAACACTTTGTTGTCCTATAATGCTTTCGGTGGATTTTAGGAACTCTCACATCCTGAAGAAACTCGAGCGTTCAAAATATCCGCATAAGCACAAGCGGTTCCCTGTGTTTCTGTTCCAAGAGCTCCGGCACCAGAGAGGACATTGAAGCCAACACACTGTATGGAAACTACAAACATGAGCTGACTATCCTTTGGCTTTTAAGGACTTTGGCCTCCTTTGAATGCACTGAAACCAGCAGAGCTGGGGATCCATTTTCTATCTTTGCTAAGACAATTCTACAGAGAATATTTCTTCAGGAAAAAAGGGAACCTTTGTCTATGTATCAGCTGCCTATGAAATAAATATCTTGCTTTTTTTTTCCTCCTACACCTTTGACCAAGAGGTACATGAATCTCGGAGATGTGATCAGTGGGCATTTAGATGTCCCTCAGTTCATTCCCTGACAGTCCTAGAAGGGCCGTGGTCAATTGAAAACACAGAGGTCAAATCTCCCTACATGTGAACAAATGTAACCGTAGCAAGCAAAAGGTCTCTCCACCATTTTGAATCTTCAAGTCTCGTAATACGCTAACATTGGATGTTTGTCTGAATGATCAACAATTCTCTTGGGTCTCTATGAATTGTGGTTTCCTATTAGGTGTCTTCCATACAGTAAGGAGGTCTACGGCATTCCCACCAACATTTTATTTGTCCCTTTAGTCAACACTAGTTTTGCACTGTTGCTCAGTGTTGCTAGTCAGTATTAATTTCCAGCAGGTTTGATTTGGAATAATGGGTCTTCACAAGAACACATAAGATCTGAAATATTGAGGTTTAGTTTCATGGGTGAATGGAAAATAATTGAAGTAGAAACGGACAATTCTGCTTTGTCAAATTTGACAGCTTTGTGTTGAACGCTGACACAATCACTCTGAAAGGGCCAGTATGTATTTGTCTTTTGCTTTAAAAATGTGAATTCTTCATTTAATAATTTATTTTTATGTACTGTATTTATTTTTTGTAATTATAATTCGCTAAATCATTTGATTGTTGGGTGGTAAAAAGGAACGGCCAGAAAACTACAGGAAACCTCCTTAATCTATACATATCAATGTCGTCAATTGTAACTAACACAGGACTTCATATTTATAAATTGGGTATTTATTTTTATTTAAATTTTACTTGGACTTTTTTGTTTTGTTTTTTGCAACTAAACCTGCAACTGTCTACAACAAATTTTTAAGCGAGATCACAAAGTGTAAACTTTAATTTTCCTGTGTAATCAAAAATCAAAGTGCTTCTACTTGTCTTTTTCATTTTATGTCCTGCAATCCTTTTGCTTTGCTCAACAATCGGAAGAAATTATAATTTTGCTGACTCACTACAGTATTAATTTAAACATGTAACTACAATGTGTGCCTATCCTTGTTACAGTTTGACGCACCACAACATATCTAGGTCATCTGAAGTTTAGTTGTGATCTTCTCATTGTTAAGACATTTCTCAGAGATTTATCAATTTCATCATACTATGTGATAAAATCCCACAGGTATGAAATCAGACTAGATATAATATTCATATTTGTGATTAAAACCTCACAGAGACACGAAGCAACAGCCAGCATTATACATTTCACCTTCAGTATTAAATTCAAAGCACTGTGGGTAACGTCAGAACTGAGGGAAAGGTGATAAATGAAATAGAGAATGGCTGTGAATGAAATGAAGTTATGACCGTTTAAAGTATGCAGTGAAGAGATTCAGAAATAAATTATATATATGTTTGCTTATCTCTCGACCTTAGAAGAGTTAGAGTTATCATCTCTATATATCTTATTTTAGAAAACAGCACAGTATTTTAAAGATTTACAGAAATATTTATGAAATTTTTATGACATTTAACTCTGATATGTGGTGTGCCAAAAATCTATGTGGTATCAGTTAAGAAGCAATACACAAATTTAAAGAACGCTGTTTGGTCTTTCTTTGCCAGTATTCCACAGTACAGTATATAATATTATGAAATTTACATATACATTGGTCTCAGTGAATTAGAAGATATGAAAAATAATGAGATAATGGCTGTCACCTGCTTCTTTTAGATTATGTAATTAAAGAAAGGAGTTAAAATGTAGATTTGTGTGGTGTGTATACTTGAAAAACAAAACGAGCACATATTTTAGGCCACTTTTGATGCGGTCACATTTAGCTACTGTTGCTCGGAAATTTCGCGGCGAAATGCAGTCATGTCAATAGCTGTCAGCCACGTTTACTTACAAGTGTGAGGCTCGAATACTGTCTGTAGGAACGTGTAACTTAAGTCCATATTCGTGAATATCACCTAGTTACAATGACTAAAGTTAATATATGAGATGACGACATTTGACACAACAAAACTTAAGTTGAGGCCTGTTTTTATACAGTCTATGGTTGAGGCGCAGCACCTGACCACTAAACTGGCGGGAACAGCTCAGATGGAGGACGGTGATTGGATCTAAACCTTCACGCGTCACACAACCAGTGTTGCCAACTTAATTTTGTAGCTAAATTTAGCAACTTCTCAGACTACCCTAACAACTTTTTCTTCCAAAAGCACCTAGCAACAAATTTAGCTATTTTTTTTTAATTTATTTGGCAGCTTTTAGCAACTTTTGATAAGTGACTCAAATGATAAAAAGGCACAATTTACCATTTAAATTACACAAAAAGAGGAAACCAAAGATGCTAGCAGTACACACGTTACAGGAATTAAGTTAGCTGCTATTTGCAATTGTTTAATTTAATAGTAATAATAATAATAATTGAATACTGTTATTTTTCATTCATGAGACACTTCGTTAGTAGCTTGTACCGGTGATTGTTGATGAGTTAGTACACTAAGAAAAATATGCAGAAAAATGGAAAAGGTGCTAGTAACTTTCCAGGACATTCTCCGTTATCCGTTGTAACCCGAAAACACAAAATACAATGCGTAATTAAAAATGCAGGTACAAAAACCTGCAGAAAAATTAATCCAGAAAATTCCTTCATATTAACACAGTAGATTGTGCATTATTTTTTTTACTTTTCTTAGAGTGCAATATACTAACTACTAATAAACTGCTTTAAAGTATAAAACTTAAATTGTAATCGTTCAAAAATGTGTAGGTTTCCGATAATTCAATGAATTTAAAAATGTGTATTTATATTTTAATATTATATTATGCATTTATATTGCTACGAACAAATCTAAATTAACATATATAAAATATATGTTTTTGCTGAGATTTGACAATTTTGCATCGGGATTACTTAATGACGTCATCACGCAATGTCATCACAACGTAATTTAGCAACTTTTAGCAACAATTCAACCTTCCTTTAGTAACGTCCCCTGAAAATGAGTTGGCAACACTGCACACAACTGAGCTCATGTATCTGTATCTCTGTGAGTTACCGAAACTACACATGAAAGTACGGTTTCGTTCGCACAGCAGGTGTGAGATTCACCAAAAGTCCTGAACATTTACAAAATGGCCTAAATGTGCGTGAACGCATTGATTATTATAGTACTGACAACCGTATTCTGCTGCTGCGTGAACGTGGCCTTTACTGGAATGTGTGAGAACTGCCGCATCGCTACATAACTGACATACCTTTTTGCCCACTAAATTTCGCTAGTGTGACCGCAATTTTACACCATACGGTAACTGCAAACTGACACTTTATTTGTCTGGCAAATGACAGTTTTAGCACTGAATCGTTGTGTATGCAGAATTCGATTTTGAAACCCCATTTTATATGAAGACACGCAGAAGTTTCCAGTAGGTCCTGGACTACGAGTTCTGGTTCTTCTTCATATAGTTATGTCTCACACACTTCTTGTGAGGAATGCATTCACTTGATCTATGTTGCTGTAATCTTGTGCTCAACTAGAATTCATGATTAAAATCAAAGAAGTTTTTGGGATTGCACCTTCCGCCAAATCCCTCGATACTTGTGTATTTGCAACAACCAAAATTTACGGGACGAATAAACATGATTGCACAATCTGTTCTCGTACTTGCGTAGCTCTTGTTCCTTCCATGTGTTTTGCTCACACAGTTTGTCTCGGGACGGTTTTCTGGAAACTTGTTACATCCATTTCAGGGCTTGTTTGGCTTGAAATAAAATGTTGCCATTATCGGCATGCTGTTCAATGCTCTGTCATGACCATACATGCCGTCTCTTCATGTTTCAATCATGTTTCAATCAACAGAATAGCCTCTTGATCTATTTTTCACGCAAACCCTGCTCTCTGGTGTTCATAGTTTTTTTTTTTTGGTTTGTTTCCACATTGTGCAACTCGTGTAATGAAACAACAATATGTTTGTTTATTATTATTCATAGAATTCTCCACCATAATACAGTTGCATGCAAAAACATAACAGCTGAAAAAATATATTTTTCCAAAATGTGTGATCCAAAAAGCAGTATTTTAACAGTTTAGTTAATGGTGAGCACATCACTTTGAATTTCATGGCTGAGCTGCGTCTGCAGATCGCTCAGTTTCTTCTTAAGTACAGCGAAAGCTGACATGACAATGGTCTCAGGCCGAAGTGAACCGCAGGACTCCACGTTGTAATAGAATCTGGATGAAAAAAAGTCATGTAATCATGTATTGACGTCCTTTTTTTTTATTTTTATTAACCTCTATTGCATGGTGTCCTTCACCTTGCAAGCACATAATGTATAACATGACAATGAAATGGTTAATAATTTATAATTTTAAATAAAACCACAGGTTTCACAAGTTCACAGAAAAGTTCAAATTCGATTTATAAATCTCATATTCTATTTGTGTAGTAAATATAAATTTTTCAGTTCTAAAGTGTGCTTTTAAGTGGATACGTGCAACAGGGTTATTTATTAAGACAACAATTCCCATGCATAAATGCTTATGTATGTATGTATGGGTTTAAACTTCCTTACCTTTCTGGCTTGCCGTTAGGATCATATGGAGCTTCAACTCCATCCTCTTCAATTTCTGAATACTCACTTTTAGGCCTGACGATTGAGCAAGGGTACATAATTACACATAACATTTTTTGACAAGTAAAAAGCTAAATTAATATATGAAGATTACATAAATACATAAATTAGAATAAAAATATAACCATAATTAATACAAGTTGTTTTTTCTGTGTACCTGATTACAAATAATACTTATTTAAATGTGTTTAATGTGATCAAAACAAGCCATAAGAATCCTACCATTCCTGTGGAATTGGGTACACCGTGTGTCTCAGTGCATTGTCTGGGTCGTACTCAAATGCCACCCCTGCAGTGGGATTCCATTTGGCATGCTCCTTGCCAAAACCCTTTTTAGCGTATGCTCTGAGACGCAGCTCCTGGCCCTTCCTGAGCTTCACCAATAGGATGTCTGTGTGAAATCCCCAAATCATCAACACTGATATATCCGAGTGATTATTCAGAAAATCAGAGAGGAATTTGACCCACCATCCTGCTCTACGTAGTCATTGGGATCGTTGTCTCGACTTCTGGATGTTACCTGAAGAACAAGATACATCACTTCAGAAAAAGCAAAGTGTGAATGTGAGAGTTTGGGAGGAGAATACACGTACAGGGATGACTCGGGGGTTATTGGACAGGAGATCTCGTGAGGTCACGTGTCGTGTCTGGTCTTCTGCACATCTTACATCCAGCGTGAGCTCAACCGAACACTCTGGGCAGAAATCATCACATGTGCAGTCCTAATAGGAAACCATAGAAAGTAAAATGTTATGTTTCAGTTCCCTACATTTAATGAGATGAGTCATATTCATAAGTTCTTCTAAAAACAGAAACCCTGGCAGGGTGTTTAATACACTTACTCGTGAGTACTGCATCTTGTCAACAATGTCATCACTCGTGAGTGGAATTAACCCTAAAAAAAAAAAAGAGAGGAGCATGATAACAGCACTTAGCACAATAAGAAGAGTGAAATGAAAGATTAGGAAAGATTTTGTACATACGCACCCACTCTGTGTGCAATAAATTCATCATGGAGCACAGAGGAGTTGGCATCAATCTGAACCCAATCGATAGCTGGCAAACAAGCACATTACATCAGATTAACAGATTTAAAAGACAAAGTGCATAATTACATCAAGCAAACACATAATTAAATCAACTTTTTGTTGTTGTTGTTGTATAAAAAAAACATATTTCTGACAGCAGCCAGAAGACAGATGGTTTGATTCTTACCGATGGTTGGAACTTCTGACATGAATACACGTCGAATTGAGTTTGCCACCCTGAAACAAATCATATTTTTTATTTGATATATATATATATTTATACATACACACACACACATCGTAAAAATAGGGTCTGAAACACTTTTTTTAAACTTGGTTTGATTCTTACCGATGGTTGGAACTTCTGACATGAATACACGTCGAATTGAGTTTGCCACCCTGAAACAAATCATATTTTTTATTTGATATATATATATATATATTTATACATACACACACACACATCGTAAAAATAGGGCCTGAAACACTTTTTTAAACTTCATAAAATTTTGATCATTAGCCTCATCAGGTCAAACTAAATATTTGTATCAACTAACTGTCTAAATACATTTTAAAACTAGTTTTCAGTGTAATTTTATAATAATAACATTATTTATATATAAATATTATGTATCACATTAAAATTCGAATAGTTACATATTTAAATTATATGTGAAATGTTATTTTAGTTTTAGTTAATATTTAATATGTGTGTGTGTAATCTCTGTATAAATACACACGTATACTCATATATGTGAAATGTTATTTTAGTTAATATTTAATATGTGTGTGTGTAATCTCTGTATAAATACACACGTATACTCATATAAATATATATATATATCCTCCTGAGAACCAGAAATAAAAAGCTTTGTGAATTCAGTATTTTTTCATGTCATTACACTGTTTAGAGCAAAAGAAAAAAATGGTAAAATAACATTTTTTAAAAATTATATTTTATTCATAAGTTATGCTATGTCCTCTGTAGAGGACACCAGGATTCAGTTTTTCTAAAAATAAAATGACAAGAGTAGACATGAAAAGGCAAAAACAATGGGAATTTTTTTTAAATCACCAATCAATTTTTAGGTTTCAGGATTTTTTTTATAACTAACTTTGTTTAAGGACGGTTCTCAACTATGTTATAAAATATATAACAAAATGATTTGATATACCATTTTGCTTTATGCAATATGTGTGTAAAAATTCCATAAACAGGTTTTCCCATTAAGCACAATGTTATCTATACACTGTATATCATTTGCATATTACAGTGCTGTTGGGACAGCATGCTGAAAAAAGAAGTGTAATAATGGGAGTAGTAAT